TCATTTTATAAATGTGTAAAAAATTGTATGGTTAGAGAGTTTCCACGTGATGAAGGAGTCAAATGTTGGTCGAATTGCGTTTGGTGTTTCTGTTGCTTTAACGATGATTTTCACTCTCATTTCTCTTTTAACCCCCGGTAAGGTCACTTCTGTTGTATGAAAGCTAACTGGAAGCTAACACTGTACTGATATTGAATGAACAAGAATATATCACTGGTGCAGTAAGTAACTAAACGATATTTCAAGTATCAGTAATTTTTATAAAAGGTTAGTAATTATTTCAGCCTGGAGAACGTTTGAAAAAAAGCCTGAAACATCGGATCAAGGTCCAGCAATACCAGCTTCTATTGGTCTTTTCCGATATCAGTGCTTTGGACATTTAGGAAAAGAAGTTGGCAAAATCAGTGACAAAAAAAGACCAGATGTCGATTTTTGCAATTACATTTTTGATGTTAGTTAATGGACTTGCAAAATTGATTATATTGTGTCGAGCAAGTCATAGAATGATAAATGTACTTTTTATCTTTTTTAACATGTCCTCAAAAACTTTCTTGGTATCTTTAGCTTAAACTGTTTCAGACTGATATTTTTGCATCGTTGCTACATGCAACTGCTTAAACTCAAATTTCAAAACTTACAATAATTTATCTGCTGTTGTAATTAGCATTAAGTTCAGAACCGTGCGTCGTGGGATGCAACAGTAGTGTACATATTAATATTATCTTTGGTTATCGAATTAATTGCTATTTTATATTTATTTCTGCCACGAGCATTTTGTTGTGAACAGTATGAGCACATGTCGGCACCATTTAGTGGCTTTGCGGCAATAATATTTATGCTGTTGCTTTACGGTGTAATTACTTATGCGGAACGATATTCTGAAATTTCAAGTAACTTAATTAATTTTAATAAAATCCTTGCATCTAAATGATAGGATGTTAATTTGGAGATTTGATCTCATTTCCCCTTATTTCGCTAATAATTATTATCACCATTAATTAGATGTTTTGTTATAGGTTTACTTAAGGCTTTCTCACAAACGGAAGGACATAGTGGATTACATCCATCAATGATTATTATTGATCTTGGCTACAGTTACTATTTGTTATGTACTGCTTTTTTTGTTTCTTTTTTATCGCTTATCATTGGTATACTTAACGTTACCTTAGCTTGGTGTTTTCTTTGGTAACTATAAAAATAAAAATGAATATTGTTCATAGCATCACTACATTCCATCCATTCATTATGAATTGAGAATAAACTGCAATAAAAATTTAAAACGATAAAAAATAGTATAAGAAAAAAATCAACAAAAATTTTTTCTAGAAATGACAGGATATTTTAATTTGGCTAATAAATTATTTGTACATGAAAAATTGCATAATTACATTTTTATTAATTTGATTTGTTCATTCATACATTCACAGTAATTTAACTTAAATATTTAAATCACAAATTTAATTTTGTTGTTATGGTTCTGATATTTTAAGAATAACGAACTCTAAGATTACTCGTTCGTATTTGCACGCTAACAACCAACAAATTTTCATTGTGAATGATTAGTCAGTATGTTATTAATTTGGGAATTAGTCTAAGACAAAATAATATTTGTTGAGAAACGTTTGTTTGATTAGTAAACTGATTTAATTTCTGATAATATCATCAACGATTAAGCTATGAAATTGTTTTTTGACTAATTTATCATTGTGGTATGCCTTTGATATATATCGAACTTCTGAATGCTATCGTTGCTATCATGTTCTTTATATATGAAATACATACATTTCCAGTCATAAGAACCAGTAACAACTAGAATTAATAAAGAAGAAGAAAATTTTAATACTTTTCCGGAAAAAAATCAAAATACTATTTGGATTATTTGGCGAAAAAAGCCTAAAGCTTAATTTTTATTTATTTCATAGCATATTAGCGCCAATAATGTCCAAATTTTATTGCAAATAAAAAAGTTTTGCTTTGGACTCTTCGAATATTGCAGAATTTGAAAACTAACGAATCACTTAGCATAATATGTGTGATGTATTTTTATATTCTACCTCAATTGTTTATGGAATTTCGAAGACATAGAGAAGGAGTGGCTGACTCTGTAAAAAGTAAAATGATGCAAATAGTTAAATTACCATTTTGTTCAGAATTTTTAAATAGACGGGATAAAATTATTGTATTCCACAGTTTAAGAACATCATTTACAAAATAATAAATGTTCTCAAAATGTTTGAAATTTCAACTGATGAATAATAAAATACCGCATCTAATGACACCAGTGGTAATGAAAGTTTTGAAGTGGATAGCAAATTAACAAATTGGGATTATGTTAGAACTTGCAACAAGTTTGAATATATGGCAGTGATGATAAAGGAAGACCGCTCATAAGTAATAGCAGAGACGAAGACGCAAGATGGCTTGCGTAGTTTAATGACAAGTAGAAAATCTTACAAAGTGCTCACTTGGTTAGTAAATCAACAACTGAAAAGTTTGACTGCTCAGACAAGTTATTTTCTATCGATTACTATTTGATAATAACTTCATCATAATGAGACCAAATTTATTATAAGTCGCCGCAGATAATATTGCTGCTTATGGAACCTCTGGACTTTCGATTCTTGAAATTGCGCGAGTTCACAATAGTTTCGACCGAAACTCATTGATATTAAGATATTTACTAAATAGAGAGAAAGACAAAAGTAATAGTTATTCACACTCTGTAAAGTAGTGCTCAATGTTATCTTAAACGCGTTATAAGCGTGCTTAGAGATAAGAATAATTAGAAAGAAAAGTGTCAGATTGAGCGCATGATATTATTAGAGCTATATAAAAATCAGCCGAATTTTATTTTTCTTGAGAGAAGGAAAAATGAAGTAATATTGTTTGCAAAATCAGGATTAATTGACCTTTCAACCTCTCGCGCTACTTTCAATTGAGGAATAAAATGACAAACAGGGAACGACAAAGACGTCTGACTAACCACCTCACATCAGTAGGATTGGAGACGAGGAAACAAAAAATTTTGGACGGATGACAATTTCATATAATTGGTAAGGACATATTGCCTCCTCATGGCGCTGTATATTGGCTCTGCTGTTACCAAAGCAAATTGCAGTTCACAGTTGGTTTTTGTAGATGCAGAATGATATTAATAGTGACTAATTAATAATTGGAGGAAAAAAATATTCAAGCTTCTTGCTAATATCATAGATCCAATCAGCTTAGCTGAAGAACACATTAAAGGACATAATCAAAGGTGAATCTCAGGTATACTCAGGCATAATTTCTGATTCGTATAATATTTCTGAAATAGCATTTTACAAAAATGTAATAAGAGAAGAGGAAATCTATTTTCGCCAGGAACGTTGTTATAATTGATCTTGAAACTTCAGAAATGATGAGAGAGAATTACTTCTGTAATCAGACTAGTCTTAACTAGGTGTGGGATTCACGAGAAATTGCTGTACAATTAAATATATTTATTCAGTGATCGTATTGTGATAATATTATTTTCAATTTTATTATAACTATAATTCATGCATTCAAATTCGCTGTTTATAATTCCTGATGAAAATAAGATTCGATTTTTATAAAAAACGGAATGTATAAAAAGTTTTATTCTATAAAATTTTCAACACTTCCTAGAAATTTTCCAAAAAATTTGAGTAATCAACTAAACTCTCTTGAACAGCCTTAGAACGTACTATCAATTCTCGCTTTGCAATAATTACCTTTTTAAATTCAATGATTTAATAATACTTACAGTTAGAGTAAAATGAAGTGTTTTTGGAGTTGTGCATAAATTTTAAATAGCAAAAACGCTTGTTAAATGGATAGGCACTAAATTTTTTTTTGCAGATACTTTCGATGATCTGTTCATTTAAAAATAAAAATGACGAACAGAGTATTTTTATGGCTTTGTATGAGAGGTAGCCAAGCAGTATGATCGTTTGCATAATACGCTCCTCGCTGATCCGTGGCTTATTGAGCGAATTATCACTGACTTTTTATATGGCGCCCCTTCATCGTATTTTCAGGCTTTGAAATTTGCTATTGTCAAAGATCAGAAATT